GTGTGGTCCACTATCAAAGGCCGAACCGCCAAACCGCCGAACAACCGAGCCAACGTAAATGACCAAAATGCATTTGTTGTAAGTGGCCGTGTCTATGGGTCGCCGTTGCCGTTGCCATCGACATCGACGTTCCTTCCACCTCGCACACAGGTGAAATTTACCACTTCAATGGCTAAAAACAACATTTGAATGCGACAGTCGACAACGGCTACAACGGATGTTGGGCTCTAATGTGTGTAAACAGTGAAACCCAACGAACGAACGAACTGGCGAGCGGGCTGGCAGTATTCGAATTACCTGTAGTCGGTGTTACCTGGCTTTTGGATGAATCGGCAACGTCATATAGCGACGGATCCCTATGCATATGTATGTATATATATATATATATGGCCAGAAATTGATGTCGGGGCCTTTTCGCCTTGGAGTTTGCCGCTCTGTCAATATTTTGCTTATATTTGAAAGCCGCCATTGCGTCGATGATTACCTGTTGGCTGGCAAAAAAACAAAAAATATCGAAATAAAAAAAAAAAACCCAAGCCCGCTTAACCCTACAAAGCCGAGATGCCGACGCTGTGGTAGGTGCAACTCAAGTGGTCACAACTCGGGAGACACTTTTCCCCTTCAAGTGGGCGCTGGCCCAGCTTTGAAGTGCAGCGAAGATGTCCAAAAAGTTTCGGAACCGCATGTGGCCCATGGTCAATTCCGTAGGTCACCTCATCGAAGTTTCCCACTAATTAGCTGCAATGTTCTTCAATTAAAAAAGGAGCTTCAAAAACTGGAAAATTGTAATTTGAAGTGCTCATAAATGGGCCATGATTGGCACTCTGGGCACTTGAAGTTTCGACTTCAAATCAATTTCAAACGAGGTAAACAAGCGGAAAAGGAACTGATGATAGCTTGATAAATTAAGTCAAAGTGCTGGGCCCCGGGAAATCAAGATAACAATTTTATCACTGGCAAGTGCGTTTCCTCTTCTTTTATTGTTATCAGATTACAATAGAAATTTGCCTTGGCAATCGGAAGCGCAATTTATTTGTTTTCTTGAGCCCTTTTGGCCTTTATCAGGTTTGGGAAAACAAAATAATGCAATCTAACTTATTTTTGGTCAACAAACGTACATGTATTTATACCGTCCTAAATTATTTAAGATAAATAAATAAATAACAACAGTAAATCCTTTTGATTTTAGATTCATGTAAATTTGTTGAAATTGATCATAATATCAAATGAATATGAATATACTATAAGAATGTGAATACTTCTAAATTATGGCTTATCATATTGTTCATGCTTTTCTTTGAGTAGATATTTTTGTTACTGTCATATTTTTATGAATAAAATTTTTGAATGATTACTATTTATTTTCCGTAAATGTCTCAATTTATACACTTTTCTTGATAAGATAACTTCTTTGTTTAATTTTTTAAAATACATATACCAATCTATTTAACTTTTATTTTTAAGCTTACCAATTGAAAATATCTTTCCTATGTTAGAGATTATGTTTCTTTGAGCCAAATATTTTTTTAAAAAATTATTATTTAGAAACTAAAGAAATAAGGCATTATCTCTTCTATATTATTTTTGGTGTTTACAAAATTAAAAATTCCTTTCTGTTTAGTGTGCAGATTAAAATGAAATAAATTTAAGCGCAAAGTGAATTGCAAAACGGATTGATTTCACATCCAATTGTATTTCGATTACTGCCGAGTTCGAGAGAATCATTTGGCAACGCCTGAGTGGCCACTTAGCTTCTTTACGATTGCCCAAGAAACGGGCAGCTGAATTATTGAATTATTGAAGGCGATTACATGGCTGCTGTGATTAACACCTGGCCAAAATTCGCACATCTTGAAAAGTGGTTTTAAATCGACAGCCAGTTGAAAACTGCGAGAAATTTAGCGACTTTTTGTATGTGTGTGTGTGTGTGCTGGCATTTGCACTTGTATCGGATTATGATGAGCAACAAACATTTTCGGCCATGTTTGTTTACTTAGCTCCGCCTCATCGTTTTGTTTGTATGGGTGTGCGCTCTCTTGTATTTTGTATCTTGTATATTTGTATCTGTGCCCGCATCCGTGCGTATGTGTGTATCCGTATCTGTGAGTTGCGTGCTGTGAGTGTCTGTATCTCAGTCGCTCTTGCGCATGTCTTATGCGCAGTTCGCCCGAAAAGTTACCATTGCCGTGCTTCAACTAAATGGGAAAACTCAGAGAGCGACCCTCGCAAAGCCACGCCATTTTCGCCGTGCCAGAAATTAACGAAAATCAATTTCTCAGCAAATAACCGGATTTATACGACTGTGGTGCCAAAATTAAGATGCGACCAACGCAAACACAGCGGTTAGTGCAGCTTTAATGCGAAATGGATTAGCTGTCTGAGGTGGGGATCTAGTTTTGGCCAACACTAAGCTAGCAACATTTCGGTTATCTTTTGGGGTAAAGTCCATATATGAAAGTCCAAGCAGTCCTAAAAGAAAGCGCCTATAAACCTCAGATTATTTTACTCAAACAAAATGCTTCAGGGGTCAGCAATGAATGAGAATTTAAAATAAATATAAATAGTGTATATTTTGTTCGATTTATTTATGACTTAATCAATATTTATATGTCCATGCCACAAAATTTATCAAAGTTGTAAAATTGTATTAGTTAATTATACGACAACTCCTAAAAATAAAACCTTTTTGAGGTTTTATTAAAGTTAGAGTATAAAACAATTACAGTAAAGCATCAAAAGAATGAAAACTTATCGTAAAAATAAACTAGTCTTTAAAAATTTGACATTTCAACAATATTTTTTTATATATGCATCTATTTTCAAATATATGATTCAATATTTCTGAATTTTACAAATTAAAATGTTTTTTGTTTTTTTGTAAAGAATAGTTATAAATATGAAGATGAAGATGAGGTGCAAAATATATAAAAACAAATATCTTGCTTGGTTAGGTTTCCTTAAATATGATTTAGGCCTAGTCTATATGTATATACTATCTAATATATGTTTATAAATTGTTGAACATTAAAATTAAAAAGTAACATAGTGTTTTTTAAAAAATAATAATGAAGAAGACTTTCTCTAAAATATGTTATGCACTATTTAAAACATATGACTTGCTTGACGAGGTTTCCTTAATAATGTTTTTAGCTTTTAAAGTTGTGTAGCACATAACTTAAATCATAAAATCAAAGCAGTAAGACTTTGTAATACACCTTTTTTCATTTTCCGTGCAAGAACTACTCTGTTGAAATCCTGCAAAGCTTTAACTTTAAGCCAGGCAACTGACGAAAGTTGCACGCACTTAAAACCTGAAATAATGGGATGGATTTGGGTGGCGGATGGTGGCTGAGCACAGGCGCCTGCACCAAGGATCCTAATTACATTTTACTAGATAAATTGTAAACTTTTTCTGTGCACGCTGCCCCCTCTTTTGGAATCCAGCCGTTGCATCAGCTTCCTCCAACAGTTATACTTTGTTTGAGTTCTCTGCCTCGCTGCCGTCTTCGAGCGCTGCAAAGTAAACAGACAATGAAGGACCACGATGGGGATGGTAGGTAGAACCCCTAAGAAAGGACTCCCCGGGAAAGGACACCCTGTACCAGGGAGCGCCTTGTACGTGCTAGCTGAGTTTGTAAGCGTATTTCCGGCAGCGGATGTCTGCAGCACCAGCACCACCAACAAATGTTGGCTCCGGCCAAACGATTCGATGGCGATGGCGATGGCGAAAGTCAGTCAGTGCCGGTTACACATTTTCAAAAGTGCTTTGGCGCTGGCAACGTAGCACGCTTTTTGCCATTAGTAGTCGCACTCGTGGGGGGGCGGCGTCCAAAGTACCGAGTCCTGCTAAAGTCCTGCATGTGTAGCCTGTAGCCTGTAGCCTGTATCCTATATCTGTATCTGTAGGTCCTGGCCAGCATTCTCCATGCACTTCAAGTCACTACCCCGCCGACTATGCATGTGTGTGTGTGTGTAGTTTTGCGCAAATATTTGCATCTGGAATATTTGCGCGCTCCATCATAATTCAAACACAGATGCGCTGTTTGCAGAAGAGCAATCATTTTGACATGCAACTCGCTTCAAAACCGAATTAAGTGGCATTCAGCGTCAGTCACGAGAAGGGCTCGAGAGCCAAGAATCCCTATCTCTCGAAAACTAGCTGCCAGTTTGAGTTTGCAGCCCCGATGGCAGTGATTGACACTCACGCAGCCGCTTAGAATGGCAATTTAAAGGATGCGGACTTCAAATTAAAGGAATTATAAAAATAATTCGAAATATAAACTATGTAGAGGGGGTTAAAGTGTGCCCATTGCAAAGCTTTTTATACAAAGGCTAAAGACTATTACTTTGATAAAGACTATTTTCCATATAAACAAACAAGCGAACACGGCTAGATCGACTCTCCTAGAGTTTCTGATCAGGAATATATCTTTATTATAAGTTCTTTATTATAAGTATATCCTTCACTGCGTAGCAAACTTTTGACTAAAATTATAATACTCTCTGAGAGGGTATAAAATTTCATAACTTTTTACATGTCTACTATGTAATGTAATGTAATGTTATTTTTACAGAGTGAGCCCTGGCGGCGATATTGGGATACTAGTATGGTTACGGTTGCCACGAGGTGGCGCCACTGAAAAACAAACCAATAATTTTGACTTGTTCCAAATACTAAATTAATAACTATATTAAGGCAAATATTAATTTGCGGTCTCTGCTTAAAAATGATGTGTTTCTGGGACCGTATTTTTCTTACTGAACCAAACTGTTTTAACATTAAAGTTTAGAGCCCATTTTATTTTCACGAAACTTTCAAGACTAAAATTTGAATGATTCCGAAAGACTCCTTTGTTCATTATGACTGACGAATATTTCACCTATTTCATAAATTCTGTAAAGCTTATACTCGACATTCTACATAAGCACCAGCACGCCACCTAGGCTGCCACTATTCAATTGTATGGCAACGCTGGTGATCAGCTGATTGGACTGTCCATCCCTGGTAGAAGTCAGCAGCAGTAGTTACGCGACTCTTAAATTAAAATCAATTACAAATTGGATAAATAGTGTCGAAAATGTTGCGAATCATTAATTTAAGTCGACTGACCAATTGCCTCCACTCCAGCCGAGCAGTCACACATTGGAATCAGCCTGCAGAAGCTCAACGAGGATTCCATGTCAACGCCGCGCGATTGAAACGCCGGAAAACAGCAGAAGAGAAGGTAGGTTTTGCAGCCACCGAACCAATCAGTCTCAAACTGTGAATGCTACAGATTCAAAAACCCAATTCATTTCAAACTGTTAACGTTGAAGATACAAAAATCCACTCGGATTTCAGAGGACACACTCACTAATTGTTTTAGAAATCCCCCAGAATTATAGAGTACTCGCCGAAAAAGGCGCAAACAGCGGGTGGAGGTGCCTCCGATGTCTGGCGACACATGACCGTGGCCCAATTGGCCAAGGAACTGGAAAGGCCACTGAGTAAGTGCTTCTTATAATCTCTTATTGATCTTTAATTAATGATCTTCTATCCTTTAGACGACATCCAGGAGGCCATGTTGTATGTCAAGGGTGCCGACAACATTGAACCCGCTTTTAAGCTGGCTGACTTGAAAATCATCCAAGAAATAGCCAAGAAACTGGGTGCCAAAACACGAGTGGTGGCCACCCCAGAAGTTCCCAGCGAAGATGATCAAAAGGATCGCGATGTGGCACCCCGACCACCCGCTCCTCCAGAGCTTCTGCAACCACGCCCGCCCGTGGTCACTGTAATGGGTCATGTGGATCATGGCAAGACCACGCTGCTGGATTCCCTGAGGGGAGCTGATGTGGCCGCCGGTGAAGCTGGTGGGATTACCCAGCACATAGGTGCCTTCACTGTCACATTGGAGAACGGAGAAAGGGTTACCTTCCTGGACACACCCGGCCATGCTGCCTTCAGTGCAATGAGGGCACGCGGAGCTGTGGCCACGGACATCATTGTGCTGGTGGTGGCCGCCGAAGATGGCGTTATGGCGCAAACCCGCGAGGTCATCCAGCTGGCCAAGGAAACGCAAGTGCCCATCATTGTAGCCCTCAATAAGATCGATAAGCCCGAGGCTAATATTGTAAGTTTGGAGTTTTAAAGGGTATATATCCTACAAGTAATTTTAACCCCTTGATTTTTCAGGAAAAAAGCAAACGAGAGCTGGCCCAAATGGGACTTGCTCTCGAGGAGCACGGTGGCGATGTCCAGGTGATACCCATCTCTGCCCTCAAGGGCACTAACCTGCAACTCCTGGCCGAGGCTGTCAGCACACAAGCCACTCTTATGGGCCTCAAATCAGATCCCACTGGCCTGGTGGAGGGCATAGTGGTGGAGTCCAAGACAGATCCACGTCGCGGCAAGCTCTCCACGGCCATCGTTTCGCGGGGCACTCTGCGTAAGGGTTCCGTGTTGCTAAGCGGACTGGCTCATGCCAAAGTGCGTGGTCTCTTTGATCACAATGGTCAGCCCTTAAGTGAAGCTCCGCCGGGCACACCAGTGGAGATTCTGGGCTGGCGGGAATTGCCACTTGCTGGGGATCTCATTCTCGAGGTGGAAACAGAGGTGGTTTTAGTTTGGCAATAACCTATACCTTGAAAATAACCAAACCTCTCTTATATTTAGAAAAAAGCCCATGCCGTGCTGAAATACCGCGAACACGAGGCACAGAAGGAGAAGATCGAGTCCAGCAGCGACGAGATCCGCAAGAAGGAGGAGGAGCATCAGGCCAAGTACCGGGCGGAGCGTGAGGCCCGTCGACTGGCCGGTCGCTTTCGCATGCGAGGTGGCCAGCGGATCAAGCAGGTGGACGACAACGAGGGCAAGCCAAGGGTCAGTGTGATCATCAAGGGCGATGTACATGGCTCTGTGGAGGCCATACTGGATGTGCTGGAGACGTACAACAGCAACGAGAGCTGCCGCCTGGACATTGTGCACTATGGCGTGGGAAATGTAACCGAAGGGGATCTGGAGTTGGCCAAGGCCTTCGACGCCATTATCTATGCCTTTGCCGTGGAGACACCTCAGCTGAAGGCCGCCAAAGAAGTGAATATACGGAGCTATAACATCATCTATCGGCTGATTGACGACCTCAAGGAGCAGCTGAGCAGCAAATTGCCCCCAGTGGAGGTGGAGGAGGTGCTGGGCGAGGCCAATGTGCTGCAGAATTTCCTCATCAACGAGGGCCGCAAGGAGGTGCCCGTGGCCGGTTGTCGTTGTACCAAGGGAGTGCTCAAGAAGGCCCAGAAGTTCCGCCTGCTGCGGGATGGCGAAGTAATCTACAATGGGGCCCTGGAGTCGATGAGGCACCTGAAAAACGAGGTGGACACCATTAAGAAGGATGTGGAGTGCGGATTACGCTTCAAAGACACTAAGGTGCTGCCACAAGCCGGCGACATACTGCAGTGCTACACCACGAACATGGAGGCCCAGCAAACGGACTGGGATCCAGGTTTCTAGTTTCTCTACGAGCCACTAAATACGCCCTGTTATCGCCCATTGTAATCTTTAGTTTTCTATTATATACTGTTTATATAAAACAAGCCACTATCCGACTTCCTGTTGTTACCACCCTTCACCCACATGCTTAGCGTTTAGGATACACTGATATACAGCAGCAGTCAGCGGAACTGGGCGGCGATAAGGAACGCTAGCATCTAGCAGGGCTAGCATATAGCAGCTAGCATCTAGCAACGAGAGCGACAGCTAGAGAAGCGCCCCTGTCTGAGAGACGGAAGCAGCTTAAAATGGGTCATCGCCTTGCTAATTGGAGTTCACCCAAACCCAAACCGAAACCCAAACCCAAACCCAAACCATGGCAGTGTCCGTAGCCTCATATCGAATTCGAATACTTGAGATGATAGCAGGCTTCCGGCGCCGGAGAAGCCTATTTGAGATTGGTTCAACATTCATGAATAGAAGCATTTACTTATGTTTGCAAATTTCTATAATACCAAGTGCGTTCCATATTTCGCTAATCACTAGCTCGCCTTGAAAAGTGGATAATTTATTTCTGCGACTTATTAGCTAACTGGAGGGCGACTTTCCCTGGTCAAGTACTGATAAGCCGGAGTGTAAAAATAGAATATTACATCAGTCTTATATAACCGCTTATTCGAGTTTTAAAATATATACCGCGTTATCAGTGTGCTGGCAGTAATATTTTTAAAAAATTCCCAAACATAATGTCGATAATGCATAGCTTAGTTTTAGTTTGTGTTGCTATCCAAGGTTTTTAACTTTTAATATTCTCGCAGGGGGTCTTATAATTTTCAGCAGATATTTGCGAACCAGTAAAGTGACGTTTTCGACAGGAGAACCAATAGCTATTTAAAAAAAATTTGTTTTATATTTTTATTCCGTATAAATATCAGATTACTATGTCCAATAAGCTTCAATATCTTTTTTACAGCATTTATACTCTAAGAAAAAAAAGGCAAAAACCTTTGACAAAATTGCTTAGTTTCTACCCATATATATTTACGAAAAATTTATGTAAATATATTTGGAAGGCTCATCCTTGAGACCATGTTTACTCCAAGTTTAAGGAAACTTAAGAACTTTTCCTAACATGAAGGTTTTTTATTTTTTAAGCGCATTGTTTTAGTCAAAATTCCTTGAGTTTGCGGCTTTTTAGAGGTTCAAACCCAGCCTGGATTTTAAAATAGTTGATTTATTTATTTAGTATTTAGTATATAAAATGATATGCTCCTGCGAATTTTTGAAGTGTGGTCGAGTTGATAAAGTCGGTTCAAGAAACGGATGTGGTTTTCGACATTTCAAAGCTATGCTATGATATTATTAATTTTAATATATGTTTTTTTTTTTTGGCCTGGTGAACCTTCTGGTGAAAACACCCAATTATGGAATGCGGAAATTATCGTTCAGACTCTGACTTTTACTGAATGGGCGAGTTTCATGAATGGAACTCTTCAAATTTCGTGAAATCGATCGCTGAAAGCCAACTGATATGCTGCAGCAATGACGGCCGAGCAATGCCAGACTGCAATTATAATTATCCCACAATAAAAATAAAACGGATGCCTAAATTTGTATGTGAAACGGGCGAGAAATCAAAGTAAACACATATTGCACATGTGCTGGCCAGCAATTAGAGTGAAATTGAGATGCATTTGGATGGGGATGGGATTATGACAGGATCGCTACACACTAAAAAGGATCCGATCGCGCCATGTGTTGGTTTGTGTGTTTGGGCGGCTCATTAGTACCGCCAGTTGATCTTGACAGCGTACAGCGAGTATCTTCTTGGCTACAATGTGGAGGGCAGGGCCAGTAAATCACTTCCCAACAGCGGATTGTATCGCATGGCGATACATGGCATGGCTCTTCACACACGTGCAACGCATAAAGATCAGTGAGAGTTGCCGGCTGGAACCAGTTGCAGTGCAGCAGAAGAGCTTGCGAAAAGACCGCAGTCGACTTTAGTCTCTAGTGGGGGCCGGTTGGCAAAGGATCCCTGGATCAAGCGACCATAAACTTGGCAGTCTTATATATAAATATTCTTTACTTTACTTTAATTTACTTTACTGGAGGAGCCCTATTCAGCTATACAGTAGCCACTGCAGAATCTGTAGAGCCATTCAATTCGGAACGCGAGATTAGAAGGGGCGGAAGCGCTATCGCTATAGAGCCAAAGCTATACACTCGCATATGTGGCTACGATATCGTTTTGCCACTGCTGCTGCTGCTGCTGCTGCTTCTGCTGCCTTTGGTTTTTTGCTCCAGTGTGGCACAGAATTAGAGCGATCGCACGCGCCCGACTCGATCAGTTGCTGGCGTGCCGTCTAACCCTGCGGATGTGTGCCGGATCGAGATACTTTCGGCGAGCAGTTGAAGTTCGAAGATAGTTGGTATCGCAGCGCGAACGGATCTATATATAATATCCTGCGGCAATGCGCAGGCGCAAAGTGCCGAATACTGTATACTGAAAATTGGAAGTGACAAGTGGACAAGTGGACTTGTGGACAAGTGTGCCGCAGATAATTAAAACTCAAGTGTTAGCCACTCAAAAGCAGGGACGCGATACACCAAAAATACATATATATATATATAAATTCGAGATTTACGAGTGCCAAGCCGCGAGGAGTGAGAGTGAGAGGACTCAGCAAGGAGCCGCAAAATGGATTTATCGAGGCGGCTGTGGTAAGCATCCGACAAACATGTATCTGTATCCTTCAGAACGCGACTGACTGGTGTGGCCCCAGCAGTGCAATCGTTGAAATTGATTCCCTTTGTGTTGCTAGCAAATTACTGTGTCAATTGGGATTTTAATTCCGTTTGAACTACATGGGCAAACACTTGACACGGGTTTCTCCTCCTGCTACTGCTCCTTTCGAATGTCCTTTCACATGTGCGGATGTGGGTGTATAGCAGATGCAGACATATCCTGGCTACGTGCTCACCGCGCAACAGGCGGTGTCCTCCATGTTGACACTGCGCCGCTCTACTGCCATTATCCTGGCCAGCATTTTGTTTGCATGCCAAATTACATTGCCAACTTAATTGAAGTTTGTTAATGAAAATTGCAACATTTTTCAAAGCATTTTCAAAGCATTGCCAAAGCCCCGTCTAATATGTTTGTGTTTGTGTATGTGCGGGCGGACCTCTCTTGTCCTGTGCTGTGCAAAAATGTTTCCATTAGCAATTAAGCTGGAAAGTTTCATGAAAAGTTATGGTTATTATAAGTGGGTATCCCTTTTTGTGGAATTTAATAAACAACATTTAATCAGTTAATGGGGATATAATGGTGCAGAAAATACTCCGTATTATTTAGCCAATTTTCTGTATGCCTAATTTTAAGCATAATTGTTGATTGGCCCCATCGATTTCCCTTTTAACATCTCAATTTCCGGCAGCAGCGATTACTTCAAACAACCAGATCCACCCACTGCCCCAGTAATTGTGCCATTACCTCACCTGCAACTCATCGACAGGTCTTTTTGTTGGCTCCCCAAATGTGTGTGCGATTCCCAAAAAAAATAATAAGAAAAGAAACCAAATCAAATTTTCAAATCGAAATGTAAATATTTATCCCAAAGAGTTGCGTTTGCCCAGCGGAGGTGAAGTGCGTGCGCTTTGAAGTGCCCTTTTACCCCCAAAAGAAAGGTAGAGAAAATGAAGTGAGAAGCCTGGACAGGCCACACAGAAAAAAATAAGTTCAGTTATCAATTTCATTTTTACAAATCATTGAATACGTTAAAATTTATATTAAATATGTTAATTTCTCGCTTTCTTTCTCTATTTCAATATATTAAAGAAATAACCCAGATAAATAAATTTATACGAAATTTCTTCATGAAGAGACAAATTTCTTATCTTATCATTGATATAATTGAATATATATAAAAAAAAAAAAATAATATATATATATTTTAAGCAACCAATTGAATGGTTATAAAACGTTGGTATAAATAAGTGAATCATAACAGGGAAACATAGCAGGAATTATGGAAAATAAGATTTATTGACATAAATAAACTAAAATATTTTTTCCTATGCAGCAAATACCTTCGACCGGTTCAAAGTTGACGGCAGCTATGAGTCCGGAGAATCTCACGCACATGCTGGACATATCTTGGCCATAATCTCCAGCCGAGGCTGTTCTTTCTTGCTGCCCGTTGACCACAAAAGCGTTGCGTGCGTTTTATTTTTGGCCAAAGTCATAAAGTCCGACCCGACACAGTCGACACATAAAAAAGGCCAGAAACTCGTTCCTCGTCTGGCAAACTGGCCAACTGGCAGTTAGCGCATCCATTCGTCAAGTTTTTTAAAGTTTTTCGCGAAAATTGTGCGTTAGCCACTTGAAAGCGAAAATCTCTCTATGTCAACGGGAGGCAGGGAAAATCTATAAAAATGTGGCCAACAGATGACCCATGCTGGCATTACTTTGGGGACATATGTGCCTAGTATCTGGCGGACTAATCAGTATTAGCAGGAAATCATAGTTTTTCTTAGCAAAATTTCCCAATGATTTTTTTCGGCTGTTCTTGAGAATTCGACAATTGCTCAAGAATGAAAATCGCTTGAAATTCATCTTGAAAGCGGCATTTCTGCACGAAAAAAAAAAACAATTTAAAATATAAATTTTTTATCGTTGAAAAGTGTAAAACGTACATTAATAAATGCTAGTTTTAGCTTTTCCTCCCTATTTAAACATTTTATAAGACTTAATAGGTACGAAATATAGATTTTTTTCTGTGTGTGTAGGGGATCTGATCGGTTTGTCTGGCCCAAAATAACAGCCTCGAACGGGTCAACACTCAGCCTCAAGAAAGATATAGCCAACATTATGTCTGAAGTTTAATGGCACAAACTAAACGTTTTAACGCACTCGGTAAATCAGTAAGCGGGTATCTTGTAGGCAGTATCTCAACAGATGGGCCGTCTGTGTGTGGTCATTAAGTGGCCAAAATATACATTACATTAAGCCAAAATTTGTGACTCGTGACGTCTTTGAACTTGACTTCAGTTGACGGAGATTTGGCTGGAGAATTGAAGATCGTCTACAGAGCTTTACTCTGTATTTAAGCATCTGCATCTGTAATCTGTAATTTAAGCATCTCATTCGTCTTTCCTCGAAATTAGGATGTTTGGTCTTGTGTTGATTCAATGAAAATCCCTAATCTAAATATTAGATTTTACCTATGCTGATATATGTTACCCACACTTGAACTTCTCTGTTTGTTATGTTTTAAGTATAATATTCTGCGGAAAGCACTAAATTCAGACCGGCAGGAAAATGGATGCACCAAGAATAACAACGCACAAAGTTGCTGGGCCAAAATTGTTTATTGAGTGGGATCTGTGCGAGCCGCGGGCACTATAAACAGTGAATTTCCAAAATTTATGCTTTCGAAATGATACAGTTGCCTTGAATCTAAGAAACTAACTAAAATCATGCACACACGAGTCGAGTGTAAACACTCGAATTACATAATTGATCCTTAATGGCTATAAATAAATCAGAAATTCAAATGTTGATCTAGCGAAGTGGCTGATGGCTGAGAGTGTGCGGATTCTGTAAATTCAGTTCTGTACTTTTGTGGCATGGGGCAAAGAGCCGCCCGGAAACGACATGTGCGTTGGGGATGGATTTCTCGAGAATATCGAATGATGCGGCAAATGAGCAGCAAATTATGCTCAGTGCCGTTTGGACAGACGCCCCTCCTTGTTGTTTCTGCAGTTGCAACAATCCTGCGGATCAGCGCATTGCATGCCTCAATTGCCTCCCAAGTTCATGGCGGCAATGTTGCACGCTGCGTTTGCCACATGTGCTGTTGATCCATGGACCCCATGGACCCCCAATGGCATGCTTAATGGTTTCGCGACAGCAGATCGGTTCTGTTTCCCATGACTTAATGTCCTATGCTTAATTAGCAAAAGACTGCCGACTGGGCGGCGTTTAATTATGCTCATAGTCCAGAGCCAAATCAAATGTGTGAGATGAAAATATCTCTGTTCGTTTTATGCTTCATAAAACTAAAACTCACAGATATTAACGCTCACACAATCGGTTCGATCAGCCGCAGACGGGGTCGTCGCACCCTGCAAACGCGGAAGATAAAAAGGATGCCCCAAAATATGCCGCCGCTAAAATTGCAGAGGCCGAACAAGATACAAAATACAGAAACCGAAAAAAAAAAAAAAAACGAAGAGCAGCCATGGCATGACTGCAAAAATATCCAAAAATTCTGCAGATCCAACAAGGAGGCAAAGGCAAACGATGCGTCACATGCAGTAAAATATGCCTAAAAAGTTGTGTCTGAAACGGGGAGCCACCGAGAGCGAAAAAAACAAACAAAAAAAACCCTATAGTCCACTTTTAGATACCCATTACTAAGAGAACCAGCTTAAAATAATATAAATACGGACCCAACAAATAATTGGGTTTTAGGTAGCGCCACCTGCAGGGTCAGCACTACGACTAAAGAGTTATTTCGCTCCCTTCTGCTCTCTTAAATATATGAACCTTCAACTATGCAGTGACGTCATAATTAAAACTTTCCTAATAACTTCCAAAATACTGGTTTTATTTTGAAAATTTTTGGGCTTTCGATTGATATTAGCCAAGTTCACAAATACCAACCAATTATTGGCTTATTGGGGCATGACAGAGTTTCAAATAAACTTGTGCTTAAATTCCAAATCTCTATAAGTTAAAATTTCTATTTCTTTGACGGACATGGATTGATCCTGTTAAAGGATATATATACATTACAGAGTCAGCAACGCTTACATGTTGCATACTTTTCAATGAATACAACATACCCCTTTGCTCAACAAGTAAAGGGCGACAGCAACAAGTGAAATATTCGCCGCCAGACAAAACCAAAAAAGAGCAAGAAAAAATAAAACCCATAAAAATGTTTTGGCGGACGACAGGCGACGATCGGTTTGCCGGGGTGTTCTTGGGAACGTGACGCGCATCTTGATGACAGCAAATGAACCGAGAGCAGTCCAAATTGATAGCCCTTCGAGGGTCAGGGACGTAGCCCTTTTTCGACTTCCGATGGCCGGTGTATAGTACGTACCTCAAGCTGACAGCAGGAATCTGCAAAATGTTACGAAGCCATACTCTCACTACCATTAAAACTGACAAGTAAAACAATTGAACGTTCCCCGTAATTGCGCTATAAATCAATGTCTGATCCACATTTTATCCGCCAGGTACTTGCTGACATGATAGCATTTAACCCAATTGCCCGGGTTACCATTTCATTTGAAGGCTATTATAAATAACTGAAATTTGTGTGCGTCAAGCATGGGAGTTGCTCATTGTTTATTTTAGATTTGAACATCAGAGATGTTTGTTCCGAGAACAGGTTGTTGAAATTAAGTTAGACATTTCTATTTAGCATAAGTAATGAGGAATTTAATTACGTATGCTGAGTGGGCAGAGCACAAATTATGAACAAGCATAACTCAATTTCTATAAAAGGAAGCAATAGCCAAAATAATTTTTCTTTCGAATGGTTTATTTACTTTTCCGTGTTTTTGTATGCCTCAAGAACAGTAATTAAGTGCAGAAATATGCCAGTTAATTTGGCATCCTGTGATTTCCCCATCTTTTTTGTATCAATAGTTGCCGCTAAAATGCTTACACAGATACCTGATTAATAATCCACCGCTGAAAGGGTGCAAAG